ACACGCATAGATCTAATGTTTACATGCATTCTAACCATTAAAACCATGAAAACATGCAGAGATCTATAGTTTACATGCATTCTAACAATTAAAATCATGCAAACAAACAAAGATCTATTGTTTACATGCACTTTAACAATTAAAATCATGCAAACAAGCAACAGGCACGTCGATATACAGAGAACCAGGCTCTGATACCACTGTTGGGTATCCTTCGGGTTTCTAGCATGCGATCTCATCGATCTAGGGTTTGGTTTCTAAGTTTCATGCAGCGGAAGAAATAGATCTAAACCTAGTCAAACGTCACACAAAACCAATTGTGCAATAACCCGAAAGAACGTGTATATCACCGTGGGATTCGAGTACTTACCTCGTTCTATCAAGATCTGGAAGTATCAATCGATCCAGGGCCTGTTTTAATCACCAAGAGTTGAAAGTACAACTCCTCTACACGTATCCACACCGGCGGGATGAATTCCAACACTTTGGAACGTATCTGCTAGGATTTGTGAAGAGAAAACGATGTCCTAGACTTAGTTTCGATATTCCTCAGTTTAGAACTCAAGAGAAAGCTTCTCCAAGGCTCTAGAATGTGTCTAGGACGTGTTAGGCTAATTTCCTAGGGTTTGTGGCGGCTCCCATGATTAATAGGATTACCTAAACCCTAAAACGCGAAAAAGAAAATTTTCCCAAAAGTCGGACCGTCCGGTCTAGGTCTGGACCGGACGGTCTGACTCCTACGTGGAACGGACGGTCCATCTCTCTACGCAGAACGGACGGTCTGGCACTTGCGGAACGGTCGGTCTGTTCCTCAGCGGAACGGATGGACTAATACAACTGGACCGTCCGGTCCAGGACTGGACCGGACGGTCTGGCCATCTAGAACCCTTCCAGCTCGTTCTGTGGTTCCTTCTCGCGTCGTTCTCTTCACGTGTGATCCATCCCTAATGGTGTGTGACCCTGTAGGCCCATTCGAAGTGGTAGTGGCTTCAGAAACTCTTCCCCGAACCACATGTCATGGTTAGCCTCTAGCAAGAAACCATGACTACCCACCTAGAATAGAGTTAGAGATGATCTAACAAAGCCAGCGACCAACGCACTGAAAACTCCTTTTCATGCTCGTTTCGGTCAAATCTCGTTTCCATTCTTCGTATTCTTCACGTATAAGTCCATCCCTATTGGTGTGTGACCCTGTAGGCCCATTCGAAGTGGTAGTGGCTTCAGAACCTCTTTCCCGAACCACAACTCATGGTTAGCCTCGCCTCTGGAAAGACGCCATGACGACCCACCTAGAATAGAGTTAGAGGTGATCTAACAAAGTCAGCAATAGCTCGAATTCAGATCCTTTGTCTCACGATGTCATATGTTGAACAAGGGCATGGTATTAGCCACCCTTCAAGTTCAACCGCTTACTCGTCTTGGCAAATTGACTGATAAAATAGATGTAACTTCATCTATAGCGTGGCCACGCATTTTCACAGTCTGATTTCCACGAGGGACCAGCGATATCTCTCCTGTTAAGGAGGTGACAAGTCTCATATTGCATGTCTACTATCTCCATATGATTCGTGAACGTATCTGATCAACGCCGTTATAATCATCCGGTTAAAGACAACGTTTGACGCAGTCAATACACGCCACTCCTCATATAAGATACTCTAGACATCTCAGGTCTGAGGATCCAAGAACGAACCGCTGTATGAGATTCAAGTCATGACTCTTGTCCATATGACAATCTCATGCGAGTCTTCCAGTCACTCGTTCCAAACGAGTACCCATGATTGTGATCTGCATCCAATGCATATGATCATCATCATCTATCACATATCATGTTGGTCTTAATTCATCACTGTTCCCACAATGACAACTGACTAGAGAGTTTAGAATCATCTGCAATGATTCATGGATATCTACCGAAACATAACAAACATGCCAATCATATAACGGGAAAAGTAATGCATTTATAAACCAATGAACCAATACATAGTCTAAATGTCATATCACAGATCATCGTAGAGCATTAAAACCAATGAACCAATACATAGTCTTTACTTATTTATGTTGTTTTTTTTAACTTTCATAAAATCTAGTAGCCTATAAATAGAACAAAGAACATAATGTAGCATCAAAAAATAAACTTTTATACATTTTGTGAGATGTATTCTCCTTTTTTTTTGGTAATTGAGTTTTGGAACTTATCGCATTTCTATTTGTGGCGTTCATCTCGACTTATCAAACGGACATCGATAACCGTTTGTGATGCATTCTTTATACCAAGATTGCTAATCACGACGTTAGGTCTAGATTACAACGCTCTTTCAGACTCGTGTCAAGGTTGATTCTACACATTGGTTAGAGGTCCTGGTCTTCACCCGTCTAGTTAGAGATCAATGCATGGTCCTTTGTTCTGCATCATGGTAACCCAAGATAGGGCTCGGACTCGAGTGGGAGAGATAAATTATTTCTTCGATAGAGCTTATATTTTCAAATTTCGATTCAATTGAATCCATGCTCCTCAACTTTCGCAACAGTTTTTTGCTTCGCTCTCACTTGAAAATTTCCGCATATTTTTACTTATCCAAAATCTCTCAATTTTATCGGTAACAACTTAGTAGATATTTGATATTTTTACTAAAATCTCTGTAAACTTCTATTCAATTTTAATTACGAACTTAAATTCTTGGGGATTTTTTTTTCTTCATTTGATAGTCTTCCATTATAAACACAAACGACGTTAAATCTTAATAAATTTCATTTACGGTTCTAGTGACGTGGATAACCACATCATTTTTTTTTGTCAAAGATCCACGTCACATTTGTGTTTCTCATTTTCACCCAATAAAACTACTTCACGATTTAGTTGTTCACCAAACTCGATCCCGGTTGACTCGACTCCACCACCTTATATCTCGCCGGTCTTGACTCGTCTGGACAGATCCAAGACTCCATTCGCTTCAAAACCAGTCATCCTTAGTACATTTCCACACCAGAAATATTTTCGTTGTGACCGTTTCAAAAAGAAGAACAAATATGATTGATCGTATCTATAAATCGATCCAATGATTTTCGACGATATGACCGAGAACCGACTCAGACAAGCTGAAATGTCATTTGTCTCCTTAGTTGGTGAGATGACGGACGTATCAACGCTGTCGATTTCTCACTAGAGAATTCATCAGTGCCGATCGATGCTTATTCAAACTGTTCGACATACGACGCCGAAGCTTGGCCGTGAAGATTGGCCAATGGAGACTCTAGAATGCCGACACAGAATGGTGATGGTGATGGTGGTACTTATGGAGGCTTGTGAAGAAGGCCGACGACGAAGACGAGAAACTGGAGCTGGAGGAAGTGAACACCGAGGACGATGAAGACGACACTGTGCGTGGGTATGAACAGCAAAAACAGCTCGTCGATGATAGAGAGTGAACCTCTGGTCCTCCTCTTGACGTCGTTCTCGACGATGTGGTCGTCGTTGTGTTTCCTCTGAATTTCAAAGAAAACAATTCGAAAGAATTATGAAAAAAAAACAATAGAATTCCCGAGTTCGAGTTTCAAGTCGGGAAAGGGAGCATATATTCTAATCACATGGGTTGCTCCTACCTCCAAGATTAGTTTGGTCGAGGTCTGGGACACACGTTTACCCAAAAACAAACAGAAGATTTCTAAAATGCCCCTGAAACTAATTGATTCGGCAAACCCAACAAGAAGAGAGAGAGAGGAGGAAGAGATGCGTCGTATACAAAATCTCTAAATCAATCTGGGGTTATGATTTTTTTTACTCAATTTTACTTTTTTAAATTATAATATTATTTCTGACAAAATAAAATGAAGTGGATAGCTAGGCTAGTAGAATTTTAAAAAGAATTCATTAATATTTAACGGCGTTTTAGTTGTGATAAAAATTGGTAATGGTTCCAAGATTTTGTGTAGACATTTGATATTTTTAAAAATATAATGTAATCTATTATCAAATTAAAAATTTATGTATGAAAATGTCACATTTGATAAAATACATATAGGAAAATGTCATTTTTTCTTTAATATACGAGGATGACGATAATAAAAGATGTTTCTTTTCCAACCGCATATTATAAATGACACATCTTCATTTTTTATTTGTTGGTGTCTTCCCAAAAGGCCTCAACTTTTCTTTAAAAAATATGGTATATAGTCTGTCTAATTTTGGTATTGTAGAACCGTTTTGAAAGTTTAGATTTTTTAGAGTTTTCTGAATTGTGAGTGAATTCTCATTTCCACTGTCTTTCCAAACTCGCCTCTTTGGAATGAAATATATAATCGATCTTAATGGTTATGTATAAATTTTTTTGGAGATTTTTATTATATTTTGAAAATAAAAAAAATGTTTCTACGTCACCCCTTGCGATATCATTCGTTTTCACATGTTACTAGTGTCATTGATGTCCAAACCGAACAAGACTTTTATTTTTCAATCAATAAAAATAAATGTATAGAAGACAATGTTTGATAAATAAATGTGAACAATTTTATTAATACATATAGATGGAGGAATACAAATACTCCATGCAAGTGGTGATCAACTTAACATAACAATATCAAACATCACGTGTCAAAAGAACCAAAAGTGAAATAAGAAATTGTTGAAAACAAAAATTTAGATATGTATTTAGTTGAAAAGAAAAATATTACCCAACTTCAATATAGGAATCTGATGGAGACTTGCGTGCAAGACATCGAGATGGAGAATAATACGTCGAAGGAGGTATACAACGCTTTTAACATATGGTGGTGGTGCTTATTTGTACACAGGTTTTGGAGAAGGAGAATAGTATGGCGGAGGTGGGGGAGAAATGTAAACGTATGGCGGTGGTGGAGACTTGTACTCGGGTTTTGGAGAGGGAGAGTAGTATGGCGGAGGTGGAGGAGAACTGTAAACATACGGTGGTGGTAGAGACTTGTACTCAGGTTTTGGAGAAGGAGAGTAGTATGGCGGAGGTGGAGGAGAACTGTAAACATACGGTGGTGGGGGAGACTTGTACTCGGATTTGGGAGATGGAGAGTAGTATGGTGGAGGTGGGGGAGAGCTGTAAATGTACGGTGGTGGTAGAGACTTATACTTCGGTTTTGGAGAGGGAGAGTAGTATGGCGGAGGTGGAGGAGAACTATAAACATACGGTGGTGGAGGAGACTTGTACTCAGGTTTTGGAGAAGGAGAATAGTATGGCGAAGGTGGGGGAGAAGTGTAAAGGTATGGCGGTGGTGGAGACTTGTACTCGGGTTTTGGAGAGGGAGAATAGTATGGCGGAGGTGGAGGAGAACTGTAAACATACGGTGGTGGTGGAGACTTGTACTCGGGTTTTGGAGAGGGAGAGTACTATGGCGGAGGTGGGGGAGAAGTGTAAACGTATGGCGGTGGTGGAGACTTGTACTCAGGTTTTGGAGAAGGAGAGTAGTACGGCGGAGGTGGAGGAGAACTATAAACATACGGCGGTGGTGGAGACTTGTACTCAGGTTTTGGAGAAGGAGAGTAGTATGGCGGAGGTGGAGGAGAACTGTAAACATACGGTGGTGGTGGAGACTTGTACTAAGGTTTTGGAGATGGAGAGTAGTATGGAGGAGGTGGGGGAGAAGTGTAAACATACGGTGGTGGTGGGGACTTGTACTCAGATTTGGGAGATGGAGAGTAGTATGGCGGAGGTGGAGGAGAAGTGTAAACGTACGGTGGTGGTGGAGACTTGTACTCAGGTTTTGGAGATGGAGAATAGTAGGGCGGAGGCGGGGGAGAGTTATAGATGTATAGAGGTGGTGGAGATTTGTACTCGGGTTTTGGAGAAGGTGAGTAATAAGGAGGAGGTGGTGGAGATTTGTAAACGTATTGTTTAGGATGAGGCTTGTATTTAGGACCGTCTCTTCTGTATTTTAGAGGAGACGGTGGTGATTTGTAGTAGTAAGGAGATTTGTTTTTGTGAGATGGAGACGAGTATGTTGTTGTTGGTGGCGGTGGAGAAGCGTAGACGTACGGTTCATAAGAGGCCACAGCCACTGCCACCGCGCTAACCACCAACGCGTATGCCATGAGAGCCATTGTTGGCGTTCCCATTCTTATTCTCTTTCTTTTCTTGATTTCTTGATTTGCTTTTGCATCTCTTTATATACTATTCTTTTTTATTTTTATAATTCGATATATAGTTTTATTACAACCTGCATCATTCGTGGTTTGGCACTCTCTCATTGCATGTGTCCGACGTGCTTGGCGTGTTGCCCTTTCAATTTTCAGTGTCTCTCTGTGAAGTTCTCAATGGGAAATGATTACAAGGACCGAAATCAGCTGGAAGAACAACCAAATCAGCCGTCGGCTTGAAGTTAATCAACGTAGACAAGAAGAGACCAGAAAAGAATACTTGAATTGTTTATTCTACGTTAATGTCTGTACAATGGAGATTCACACGGTTATGTTAAGTAAATAGAGTAAAAGGAAAGTAAAGATTTGTACATACAAATATGTTAAGTACGTGCTAGGAGAATGGAAAGATTCCATTCTCATGTTGATTTCCATGATTCATTCCTTTATGTGCCAACGTTTACTTCAGCTAATTGCTCCTTAATTCTCCTTATGACCATTACGTGAATCATGCTCCAATATGTCTTGTCTTCTAGTTTCTTGCAGCTGAAGTTACCGAGAGTTACCGTCATGAGATTTCCAAGTTTGGCTCTTCGAGTCTTGGCTTGATGTTCGTTCCTTCGTCTTCCTCAACATTCCCCCTCAAGATTGGTCGTCGATTATCGACAAGGCCAATCTTTCCGAGGAGTTTGTTGAGAACGTGTGACGTGGTAGCTTTAGTGAGTATGTCGGCGAGTTGTTCTGAGCTTTTGGTGTAGACCGTGGTGATGATTCCTTTGTCGATCTTCTCCCGTATGAGATGACAATCCACTTCGATATGTTTTGTCCTCTCGTGAAATACTGAGTTCGCCGCAATGTGCATCGCCGCTTGATTGTCACAGTGAAGTGGCATCGGGTGCGGATTAGTGATGCCGAGATCTTCCAACAAGTTTTTCAGCCATACAAGTTCACACGTCGTATTGGCCATTGCTCTGTATTCTGCCTCAGCACTTGATTGCGCCACCACCGATTGTTTTTTGCTCTTCCAAGTAACAAGGTTTCCTCCAACGAATGTGCAGAAACCCGTTGTAGATTTTCGGTCTATAGTGTCTCCAGCCCAATCCGCGTCGCAATATCCTACAATTCCCGTGTCCTTATTGCATTGTAGCCATATCCCTTTGCTTGGACTTCCTTTCAAGTATCGCAGTATCCGATTCACCATATTCCAGTGTAGAGTTGTCGGAGCATGCATCCACTGGCTTACCTGATTCACCGAAAAACATATATCAGGTCTCGTGATGGTTAAGTATATTAACTTACCTACAACGCGTCGATATAGTGTGATGTCCATGAAACATTCCCCCTCGCGTTGAGTCTTATAAGCTATCTCCAAAGGTGTGGTCACCGGTTTTGCTCCGAGTTTTCCTGTGTCAGTTAGAAGATCAAGTGTATATTTGCGCTGCGACAAAAAAATTCCGTTAGGTGTTCGAAGAATTTCAATGCCAAGAAAATATTTAAGCTCCCCAAGATCCTTAATGTCGAATGTACATTTCAGAAAAGCCTTCGTCTGAACGATCCCTGCATTGTCACTTCCGGTAATAATGATATCGTCGACATATACAAGGATGACAATGTTACCGACATCAGAGTTGCGGAAGAACAGTGAGTGATCGGCCTCACTTCTATGAAATCCCTGGGATGTGAGCGCCGATTGGAGTTTGTGATACCACGCTCTAGGGGATTGCTTTAATCCGTATATGGCTTTCTGTAATTTACAAACTTTTCCATTGCCAAGACGTTCTTTCAAGCTCGGAGGTGGTGTCATGTAAATGTCCTCCTCCAAATCACCCTGTAAAAATGCGTTTCTCACGTCCATCTGCCACAAATCCCAAGACAAGTTAGTTGCTAAAGACAAAATGACTCGAAATGATTTAAGGTTAGCAACGGGAGCGAATGTGTCTGTATAGTCCTCTCCGTATGTTTGAGTGAACCCTTTTGCGACTAATCGCGCTTTGTAACGTTCTATGTCCCCGTTGCTCTTGTATTTGATTTTATAAATCCATTTGCTTCCAGTCTTTGGGTAAGGTCGTGACTGTCCAAGTTTTGTTTCGTTCGAGAGCGTCGATTTCTTCTTGCATGGCATCCCTCCAAACTTGGTGTTGGTTTGCCTCATCAAATGTGGATGGTTCTGTCCCCTGATCGATTTTACTGATTAGTGGGTAAATGATCAATAGAATAACAATTTTGTATAGGATATTTAACCGTATAGACATTAAGGTGTTGTTCTCCCTGTGTTTTGTCCGATCGAGAGACCTCCTGTGTGTGGGATGCATGTTCTCTGTATCGTGCGGGGGTTTGAATGTTGCGGCGTTGTCTGTCACGAGCCAGCATATAGTCTTGTAATTCGACGGGACCTCCATGATCGAGTTCGGTGGTGATTTGAGCTGGGCCTGATTCTGGTACATGGCGAATCAATTCCGGCACAGCTTCAGATTCTGCGGCGGCTCGAACATGGTCTGAGTTTTCTTCTGATTCCGCTGTCGTTCGAGTTTGATTTTCCTGGATGTCCATTTCCTGCAGAAAGTCAAAGTTACCTGGTGGAGAGAGATTGAGTTCCCTTTGTTGGTTGCTTGCATCTTCTGGTTGTGACACGATAGCAAGGGAATCCATATTTGACTCCTTGTTTTGCTCATAACTCATGGGAGGGTTGTTTGTTGTTTCACGGGCGAGCTCCAGAAGATGACGTGCTGATATTTGAAAATTAGGCGATGCCAGGGACAAATTATCTAAGGTTTCTCGTTGCTTGTTCAGGAAGTAAGGTTGGTCCTCTTCAAAGATGACATCCCTTGAAATATACAAATGTCGGCTAGTAGGATGATAACACTTATACCCTTTTTGGGTTGATGGGTAGCCAAGAAAAATACATTTCGTACTTTTCGGATCTAACTTGGTCCGTGAGCCATCTGCAATCAAAGGGTAGCACACACATCCAAAAACTCGTAAGTGTGAAATCGAATCTTGAGATTTGTGCAATACCTCGAATGGAGATTTATCGTTCAACACTTTCGTCGGTAATCGATTAATGATGTAGCATGCAAGTGTGACAGCATCTCCCCAATAAGACTTAGGCACATTTCGGTGAAGAAGGAGTGTTCGGGCCACTTCGATCAAATGTCGGTTTTTGCGTTCGGCTACACCGTTTTGTTGAGGCGTATATGGGCATGATCTTTGGTGAACGACACCATTGGAGGCCAAGAAATCTGCAAATTGTTTACTCATATATTCTCCTCCGCTATCCGTTCTTAACGTCTTGACCTTGCACTCAAAATGGTTAGAGACATAGGCAAAGAAACGTTTAAAAACATCAAATACACCACTTTTGTTTGGAAGAAGATAAATCCATGTGTACTTGGATTTTTCATCAATAAACGAAACAAAATACTTATTTTGATCCCGAGAAAATACGGGAGATGTCCAAACATCCGAGTGTACCAAATCAAAGCAATGTTCATACGTAGTAGTAGAATTTGGAAAAACACTATGACAATGTTTGCCTAAGACACAAGCCTCACAAAAAGTGTTATCGAAACTTGAATTAGGAACAAGCATCTTTAGCACTTTGTGATGGGGATGTCCAAGTCTTGCATGCCATATGGAAGAGAAAGCAAATTCGGAAGAAAAACTAGGCTCTTCAAGGAGATATAGGTTGTCCTTTTTGAAGCCGTTTCCAAGAGTAGTTCCGGTTTTAGTATCCTGAAAGACAACCTTGTTAGAATCGAAAATAACCGAGCAATCTATTTGTTGAGTAAGTGCTGGAATTGAAAGCAAGTTGGTTTTAAAATCTGGAACTTGATAGGCCGGAACAGTTTTATCGAACACACATAAATCACCTTGGCCAAGAATGGGTACATGCTTTCCATTAGCTACTGATACTGATCCTTTTAAATACTTAATGTTACGTAATAGTTCTGAGTCACTAATCATATGACTTGTTGCACCTGAATCAATAATAAGTGATTTTCGAAGTAATTTAGTGCAGGAAGAGATGTTACCGGACTCCTTGTCTTTCATGGCAAGGAGGAGTTGTTTAAATCCTTGGATTTCATCCGAGGTGAAACTCATTGTGTTTGCTGCCGTCATTGCTTGTCCTCGGTTGTGTGGAGCATCACGGTACCTAGCCGGCTTGAGATGCGGGTGAAGAACCCAGCACTTGTCACGCACATGACCGGATCGCTTGCAGTGATCGCACATCAGCCCTCGTCGGTCTCCATCACGTTCACGAGCATGATCAGAATCACGGCTTCGTTCACGACGGTTCGAGTGACTTGGATAATACGGACCTGGACCTCTGCGGAAGTGTGCCATCTCGCTAGGCCCTGCAAAAAGGTTACGTCCAGCTTCTTCTCTTTTTAACATCATGCATACCTCGTCATATTTGGGCAGACGGTCTTGGCGGAGTATGTGGTATATCAAGTCATTGTACGATCCATCCAAGGTGAGGAGAATAGAGAATACTTTGTCTTCCTCCAACCTATCCTTGAAAGCTTTGAGATTCACCGTGGGTGGGCGTAACTCTTCCAATTCAGTCCACAATGCACTAAATTCTCCGTGGATGACGTTGAACGACTTACCGTTCTGCTGCAAGGTAAACATCCTTTTCTTAAGTTCAAATATGCGACATAGGTTCGTCACATTACCGTACACATTTTGTAATGCTTCCCACAGCTCCTTTGCCGTTTCCGGTGCTATGAACGACTTGAGGATATTGGAGTCCAAGGAGCTTTGGAGAATTGCCAAGGCAAGGCTGTCCTCTTGAACCCACTTGTTGTTCTCGGCAATTTGACGTGCAATAGTTTCAGCGTTTGCAGTCTGTTCAACGTCGGTTTCAGCATCTGTCGCTTGATTCTCGTCCGAGTCTGTGGCTTGCGTTTTGGTGATATGATCCCAAAGGCCACGACTTTTAAGGACGGCCTTAGCTGCTTTCGACCAATAAAAGTAGTTCTCTCCCGTTAAGGTGACAAGGATAAGCTTCGCGGCAACGTTCTCCATTGCTTGAGGCGAAAAGACGAAAGGAATCTGATTTGGGGGTTTAAGATAGATCTGTTTGAAGGGATTTCGGTATTCTTAGCCAACCAGGCTCTGATACCATGTGAAGTTCTCAATGGGAAATGATTACAAGGACCGAAATCAGCTGGAAGAACAACCAAATCAGCCGTCGGCTTGAAGTTAATCAACGTAGACAAGAAGAGACCAGAAAAGAATACTTGAATTGTTTATTCTACGTTAATATCTGTACAATGGAGATTCACACCTATATTGAAAGAGAAGAAAATAGAGTAAAAGGAAAGTAAAGATTTGTACATACAAATATGTTAAGTACGTGCTAGGAGAATGGAAAGATTCCATTCTCATGTTGATTTCCATGATTCATTCCTTTATGTGCCAACGTTTACTTCAGCTAATTGCTCCTTAATTCTCCTTATGACCATTACGTGAATCATGCTCCAATATGTCTTGTCTTCTAGTTTCTTGCAGCTGAAGTTACCGAGAGTTACCGTCATGAGATTGCCAAGTTTGGCTCTTCGAGTCTTGGCTTGATGTTCGTTCCTTCGTCTTCCTCAACACTCTCTTGTACGTACTCTCTTTGAAATGTTCTAAAGATTCTCATATGATTTTGTTGGCACGATTTGTCTTAATTTGATTTATTTCTTTTTATAATAAATAGAAACAAAAGTAGTCCAAAGATATTAAAAAAAAACGTCTTGCCACGTCAGATTAATGAAGATAAAAGAAGATTCACATTTTCCGTTTTTTTAACTCCAAAGACACAAGTAGCCAAAAGATTGCTCCAACAAATACTAGGAGGAGATTCTCTCTTATTAATTACTTGATTACAGATTAATAATCATATAACGGCTTCTGCTTTGTATCACGCATATCACCATTAAAATCAGTAAAGATGCAAAAACAGAAAATTAATCATTTTATAATAAAAAAATATTAAAATAATAAACTATAATTTCTTATAAACTATATTAGATATTCATATATATAAATTATGATTATCTATGAAATATAATTGTCAAACGAACTTAACTATATTAATTGTTCACTTGAACAATATATGTGGAGCAAACATCAAGTCGTATATATGTCCACTTTCGAAAATAAATTTTGTTATACTGAATGCATAATTAATTCGTAATGGGATTAGAAAGTAGAGAAGACGTTAAAACGTTTTATTAAGGATGAGTGCAAGTTACATTATTTTGCTTCTAACCTCAGCATACATGCACCCACTCACACGATTAGGTGTGACGACTCAACTCCACGCCGAATTCAAAACCCTTGAAACATGCATGCATGCACGTACGTGCCGGTTTCAGGTTTAGTAAGGGGTAGCCTGGAACTGGCATTGTCCGACAGGGATGTTGCAGATGTTGGGCAAGTTCCTAGCAGCTTGGAACATCTGAGCCCCCGCCGCGTTGGGCACGTCGGCGGATCCATTGTTGGCAAGCCCTGAGCTGCTGTTGCTGCTGGAACTCCCTCTGGCAGCGTCCTTGTGGGCCCCTCTGGTTCACGTCGTCTTCGTCGAACTCAACCACCGTGCGGTAGATGGAGGCGTTAGACAGGACGAGGAAGAGGGCAAAAGTTGCCAAGAGGACTATGAGCTTCGCCATGTTTGTATAGATATACATATATATATATACTAACGGACGAGGAAGAGGGCAAAAGTTGCCAAGAGGACTATGAGCTTCGCCATGTTTGTATAGATATACATATATATATATACTAACATCTATACAAACATGGCGAAGCTCATAGTCCTCTTGGCAACTTTTGCCCTCTTCCTCGTCCTGTCTAACGCCTCCATCTACCGCACGGTGGTTGAGTTCGACGAAGACGACGTGAACCAGAGGGGCCCACAAGGACGCTGCCAGAGGGAGTTCCAGCAGCAACAGCAGCTCAGGGCTTGCCAACAATGGATCCGCCGACGCGCCCAACGCGGCGGTGGCTGGGCCGACGATGACATCGAGCTCGTGACCGAAGACGACGACGTGAACCAGAGGCCGCCAGCCCTCCGACAGTGCTGCAACGAGCTGCGCCAAGTTGACCGCATGTGCGTGTGCCCAGTGATAAGGCACGCGGCTCAACAGGTGAGGTACCAGGGACAGCACCAGCCGCAGCAGGTGAGACAGATGTTCCAAGCTGCTAGGAACTTGCCCAACATCTGCAACATCCCTGTCGGACAATGCCAGTTCCAGGCTACCGCTTACTAAACCCGAAACGGGAATGCACGTGCATGCATGCATCTGCGAGCGATTTCAAGGGTTTCTAGGGTTTCGAATTCGGTGTTGAGTTGAGTTTGTGTTAGTCATCACACCTAATCGTGTGAGTGGGTGCATGTATGCTGAGGTTAGACGAAGCTAAATAATGTAACTTGCACTCATCCTTAATAAAATGTTTTAACGACTTCTCTACTTTATAACCCCTTTACGAATTGGCGAAAACAGTTTGCACGTCCAATATTATGCATTCAATATACCAAAGTTTATTTTCGAAAGTGGACATATATACGACTCGATGTTTGCTCCACATATAGTATAAAAATGTCCGTACAATGAATTTAGGAAACACTTACCTAGTGTAGTTATTATATTATAATTAAGACCGGTTGTGACATTTGATTCGGTTTATAATATATGAGACTCAATATGCAATATAAGAATCACTTCTACTTTTGCTGACTTTCATGTATACCATGTGCATAATGATGGGCAAATTATTCGGGTTACAAATATATTCTTATGCAAACTTTGTGCATACAACTGAATTTTCCAATTGAAAGTTGTAGAAATTTGATTCGAAATGATTAACACAATTATTGTATTCATCACATTTGTTAGTTGATTCGAAATGATTAACACAATTATTGTATTCATCACATTTGTTAGTCGATTAGAAATGATGAACACAATTATTTTTTGATGACTGGTGTAAAAAAATCTATAAAATTATGTTTGTCTTTATTATGGATGATACAAAAGTTTAAATAAGTAATGTAATCTTCGTGTGAATTTTTAATTCTATTAGAAGTATAATTTCTAAATTGAATTTCAATGTAGGTTATCTAAGTTTAAACCTTCATATTATGTAAATTTTTCATAATTCTCTTGGCAAGCTCATACAAAACAATACATATATGAGGTTATACAATCTTTAAATTTCGACGTCAAAATGTATCTCATAAACACATTATTGTTCTTCAAACTGTAATTTTCAAATACTTCCTAGTATTTCAAAAACGTCCACAAAAAAATCAAAATTAATCTCCAAAATGATTATACACAACCCGCTATATAATGGAGTCCTTGGAGAGTGGGTGTGGAAAAAACAGTATAGTACGTAATTATATTTGTCAACGCAACCTCCAAATGTTTGAAATGGCAATCCGTTATTGGATGACTGGTTTTTCATCACTAGGGAATCATAATCACTTTGACGTGTAGTGCAATGTTTATCGAAAAAGATGGAATCATTTTTTTGTATTATTAACTAGGCTATGTCGGTTCATTTGTAGATTTTATTTATTTATTTATAAATTCACCATTTATAAAAAAAACAATATATTCCACTGGTAAAGAAAGTTGAAGGTATTGATCCAAATTTGGATAGTTCAACCGGTGAAATGGAGATGCAAATCATTTGTCTTGTCCTGAATTCGGACCTCAAGTTTAGAGAGCTGGTGTATATTTCAAATTACATGGCTGGTCACCGATCTCGAAATTAGTCTGAAGTTTGGTTCATACACTCGGATATCCAAAAAAAAAAAATTGAAGCTATTGAGAGACATCAACATATAGAACATTAAGATAAGCCAAAAACACATCAACTATTGGTGAAATAAACATTTGTATCCATTTTTTCCTTGACTCATTGGAGAGAGTTAAGAGAGAGTTAAGAGAGAACACAAATCAAACAAAAGAAAACCCAAAAAACATCATTACTCTCACCTTACATACATAAGTATATATAAACAAATATATAAATACACATATATATACACAATATATACATGTTTATACATAACAATGATTAAACAAATATATACATATATGCATGTATACACATGTTTATGTGTATAAATAAAAATATATACATGTCTATAGTTTTTGAAATGGTATTTTCAAACGAAATCCGTTGACATTCTATTGATTTTTTTTTTAACTGAAACTTTCAACCGAAATTCGTTGGAAATTTTGTGTCGGATTTTTCAATTGAAATCCGTTGAAATTTCTAATCAAAATCTGATTGAAACTACATTACAAATTTTTAACCGATTTTTTCAATTAAAATATATTGGAAATTTTCAACAGAAGTTTTCAAACTAAAATCCATTGAAATTTAGTTGAAAAATTTTTAACCGGAATTTTCAATTGAAATACGTTGAAATTTTCAACTGAAATTTGTTGAAAATTTTCAACTAAAATTCTTGAAATCCTAGTAGGGATCTTCATTTGAATTATCCAACTGAAATTAGTTAAACTTTCCAACTGAATTTTTTAAAATTCTATCCCAAAATTTTATTTGAAATATGTTAGAATTTCAACCTAAATCAGTTGAAATTTTCAACTAAAATTCTGTTAGGAATTTTGACTAAATTTTCCAATTGAAATACGTTTAAAATTTTCGATTGAAATTTGCTCAATTCAGCTGAAATGTGTTGAAAAATTGTTGAAAAATTCTCAACGGACTCTGTTGGAGAAATCTATTGGAAATCGTTTGTTTGTTTTTTTCGACCCTCTCGTTACAAACAAATTGCACTTTTATTCATATTTAAAGTTTCAATAATAGATGGTTCATTATCTTCGTCTCTTAATTAGAAGTCAAAGTTTGAATCCTATCCTGAAATGGAACAATCCTTGAATTCAACCCTTTACAATTTTATACGTTGATCCAAAGACGAATGAATATTAATCTAACTATGCAAGATTTAAAAGTATCACTTCATAGTTAAACACCGTTTAAAACATATCGTGGTCTATCAAATATATATATATATATATATATAAACATAACGGTTTCTTTTTATTGTTTTTTTTTTGTTAAAACGTAAATATTATAAATCTGGAAAACAAAAATTACAAAGGAGTGTCACACTTCATGATCATCCCCAGTCATAGGTTTTCAGTACATAAAACAAACAAAATCAGTATTCTCCAGGATAATAAGAGTCTAGCAACGAACTAGAACCTCTCAAACATTCGGAACCATATCGATAGCAGCGAGTTGTTGTGGTGTAAGCAACCCCATTCCTTCCTTATCGAAGTGAGACGCCTCCTAGTTTGTGTCAGGACCTCCTTGACGAGAATCTCCACCGACTAGATTGAGAATCATGTAACCGGATATTCCTTTCTCTCCAAATGTTATAAATAGCACATTGAAATATCAACATAATCATAAGACTCGAGCATCTTTCATCTGAACATTTCCCGACCCAATCAATCCATCCCAAGAAAGTTGTTTGAGGTGTTACTTGAAGTGTTGAATATCGTAGTAGTGAAGACCAGATCGCGATTGAGTAGCTGCAGCTGAAGAAGAGATGATCCACCGTCTCATGCTCCGAGTCGCATAATAAACATCACTCTGGAACATTCAGACCCCACCGTAGCATTCTGTCCCGAGTCGACAGCCTGTTTCTTGCCACCAACCAAGAAAGAAAAGCGTGTTTTGGTACACATTTTTTGAACCAGATCAATTACCTTGCTCCATGGTACTCGTGGGGATGAGCCATATAGAAGCTTCCAAGCTCTTGTCGTCGTAAAGGATCGGTGATCCTCGGAGGAGTAATGAGGAGACCAGTAAAAGCTGTCTTCCCGAGCAGAGGATGAAGGAAGATGCATAGTTGTTAGCGCTACCTAAAGAGTTTCAACACCCTGCGATCTAGCCGGAGATATGAGCCAACCATCCTCATTACAAGCATCCCTGACCAGAACTGACCTCGGTATACCTAGTTGTCGAGGACCACCTTCTCCGATTGTGAAAATTAGTGGGCCTTCAGGCAACCAAGAGTCCATCCAGAAGCTACAAGTTTTACCATTCCCCAGACAACATCGTAGAAAATCCCTGGTCGTACTTCGGAGCCTTAAGAGCTTGTGCCAAGTCCAACTCCCTTTTCCTCGTGCTCTAACATCCCAGTAAAAGTTGTTTCTCTCTATTGTTCATTATCCATGCATACGTGATCTGATTTCTCTCTATTTTCCATTAGTACATGCATACTTAATAAGCAATTTCCACGCGACAATGTACATGAATGTACTATCTTGAACCGATGTCGATCTCTTTTTTTATCGAACTCTCTCTTCTCGGTGAACCTGATTTTGCGAACACCGAGAAAACCTCGCCGGAAAAACAAAACAGAAAAGAAATGTGCATCAGATCGTTTAACGAGTTCGGATCGAACGTTGTGTTCGTCCTACGTCTCGGAGGAAGGAAGTTCTTTATTCACGCAGAGTTTTACAACCGATCGAACTGATCTCACACCAAGAACCGAGAACGAAGCTCTTGAGAAAAGAATGAATCGTATTTTTTCAGAGGAGGAAGACGATGACCTTTTTAATCTGATTTTCCCGCTGGAGACGAATTTACCGAATTGCCCTTCGAGCTCGAATCATTTCTGGCCAATCCTCGGAACGACGTCGTCCCAGCTAACCCAGGAAACCCTCTGATACCTTTGGAGGGTTCCCCTGTATCTTCCTGTTTTTCACTTCTTCTTCTTCTTCTCAACCGTATGTTTCAGACACATACACTTCAATTCTCCACCTTGTCTGTAACATTCCCTGATGAAACCTTAGCTCCCTTCCGCAACCCTCAGATCTCAAACTTCGACCAAACCCAGCAAGTTCAACATTCGTTTGAACTTGCCTACCGGAACAGTTTTAGTTAAAATGTCAGCTAAGTTGTGATCTGTATGTACCTGTGATACTGCGACCTTTCCTTCAGCAATGATATCTCTGATGAAATGCAGCCTTATGTCTATGTGCTTGGTCCTCTCATGGTGTACGCTGTTTTTCGACAGACTTATCGCACTTTGAGAATCGCACAAAACCTCCACACAGTCTTGATCTGTAATCGCTCTCCTACGAGTCCTTTAAGCCATAACCCTTCCTTGATAGCTTCTGTAAGTGCCATGTATTCAGCCTCTGTAGTCGAGAGAGCTACCACATGTTGCAGGCTTGACTTCCAACTCACAACATTGCCGCCAACCATAAATACAAAGCCTGATATGGACCTTCTCTTGTCTAC